CCTGCCCTTCCCTGGTATCTACCTACTCTTCTTCCACAGTTCTTGTTCAGTGGAGCCCACTGCTGATGCACCAGATATCTTCATAGGATAGACCCCGCCTACAGAGTTCTCCTTTAAGTTTCCTGCCATCTGGAACAGCTTTTTCGACTTCATCCCACTGCGCTGCCCCAAAATCTTGGGGGAATATGTTCTAAAATCGTTTTTTTTTTCCCTTTAATCTTTGTAATTGTACTGTTGGTAGTGATGTTTTAAAAAATGCTGAAATCCAGGCAGACATGCATTTCTTGTGCAAACTAAACCATATAAAAATAATTTAACTGGTGGGATTATTTGATTTGTAGTGGGAAAAAAATGAGTAGTAAATTACTAGTGATCTTTAAATAGATGAGACTACTTAATTGTGGCTAACCAGTTATTATTTTGCTACAGATTAAAGAAACTATGCTCTAATTTAAATAAAAATTTCTCAGTGAGATGTGAACAGAGGCAATGCAAATTGTTAAATAATGGGTTGACTTGTTGAAGTTGCTTATCTGTTTTTTCCTGTAGCAGCAAAATAGCATAACCGTTCCTTTATTTTTCATACGTATTTAACCTTAGTGAAGAAAAAAAGAAATGTATATTGAGAAAGCAAAAGCAGACAAAGACAAAAACATACAACATTGTAAAGCAAGCCAAAATAGGAATGGGATGGGTATGTTAAAACAAGATTCTTGACAGCTGCATTTTTTTATTAGTGCAGATGAGCATTAGAAGTGATTTTTTTTTTACTTTTACATTTCTACACTTTATAGGGTAAAGTTTTTTCTATTAAAAGAAGCCTAACATCAAAATAACACCAAGATTTAACATGATTAAAAAAACTGTATGAAGACTTTTAAGATATACGATTCTAGTATTTTGCCATACTAGCAGAGAAAAACATTCATAAATGTGGTGAAATTTTTTAATTTATAACTGTCATCTCATTTTGTTCAAAAAAGATACTTGAATGGCAGGATCTGATTATTTCATTTGAACGATAGTCTAACAAGACCAACATAAACCCTTAAGTTTTATTTCATGTGGAGCCCAGGTTGAATTTTACAGAAACTTTAACATTTCAAGAAAATGTAAAAGAAAAAATGTAAAAAGAAAAATTCGTATTTTTCTTGAAAGGGTTACAGAAAATACTAGCTGTTGACTTTCCAAACGTTTACTATTTTTGTGAGCTTTCTTATCTAACACTGATGGAACTCTTTTCATATTTCTATTGGCACTTTATTTTTAAATAAAGTCCATAGAAAGGTGTAAGTAAACAGAAAGGGATGTAAATGAAAACTCCCCTATCCTTACATGCAAACATTAGCTGAGAAAACTGCCTTGGCACTTAACATTACAGATTGCAAAAAGATTTTCTTTCTATTTGATGTGTCATTTGTATACATATGCTCAATACCTAACTTAATAAACACCAGGGTTCATTTGTTAGCCAGGATCTGAAATGTTCTAACGTTTAAAGATAATAAAATGTTACATATAATAGATAAAGAAATCAGTATAATTTAACACCTATTTTAAAAAGAACCTTGAATTTTCAGTAGCTGATCTATATTTTCTCATAACCGTATGATGGTTATGAAATTTGTTCAATGGCAGAAGTTAAAACGATCTGCAATGTGGTCTTTAAGAAGCAGCCAGCATTGTCAAAGGTTAGTCAAAATGACAGGAGCATCGTGTTCAGAAAACTTGGCAAATTTTCCTGAAAAAAAAATGTGAAGAGCTCAGCACTAGTAGGATAACTGAAAAGCTTTTGTAGCTCTTAAAGAGTAAGCACACATAATATAATCATACTAGCCTTCCATGTTTACACAACTCTCAAGAAATATACATAGAAAATTTTACCAAGAGTAGTTTTATACCCCATGTAACAATTTGTTTTATTTCCCTTCACAGGATAAACTACTAGTAAGAAAAAGACTGAAAGGAAACGTTCCAAAGCAAAGATTTCAATTGCAGTCGTCCTATTTTAGAATCTTTATTGATAGAACATCATGATGATGCCAAATATCACAATTATTCGAAGAATCGAATACTTTCAAGAGTTAAAATAGAAAACATCTGTCATAAAAGGAAATAAGAATTCGGGTGGAGGAAAGCTACGAAACGCACAGAAGCATGCAAAAAAACGAGTCCCTTCACCTAGGCCAGGATGGAATGACTGTGCCTAAAAATGCAAATATTTTCAGCATTTGGAGGACAGCCATTTCCATAAATAAAGTTACTCCTGATAACTAGGCTACAAATAGGACGAGTCCCAGTCACATCTCGTTTCCATCTGATTAGGACTGTGTCATATAAAAGGCTATTTTTTTTTAATATCCTAGCATTCCAAAGAGTATATCATGAGGCTTTATTTCTTTATTTCCTCGTGATGTCCCCCGATTTCTGGAGGCTTGAGGGTCGGGTATGACACCGGTGCAGCCTTGCAGGGCAGCCCAAGGCAGCAGCAGCAGCAAAAGCAGCAGCAGCAACAAAGTATTTCCCAGAAGGAATGTGAGCAGCTAGCGAGCTAGCGAGCTAGGAGCTAGGGGGGTCCCAGGCTGGAGGAAACAAATCCACGAAACCACAATTCCCCTGCTCGGTCCTTTTCCTGCAAATAACCTCTTTAGACAACATCCATAAAAGAAAGCGAACCGTCTGAAAATTTTAAGCATCTTTTGTTGCATGGTAACAAAAGAATGACTATCCTTAATGCTCCTTAAAAAAAAAATGCAGTCCTGATAAAAAAAAAAAGAAAAGAAGAAGAAAAGGAATCCAACTCTCCGGTCTCTTTTGGAAAGTGCTTAGATCATCTGGAGATAAATATCACTTGGTGTCCTTGTTTTCTAACAAATGGCTTTCCCCCCCATTGTTTCCATTAATTTCACCCATATTCGTTCTTTTTTTTTTTTCTTAAAAAAAAAAAACAACAAACAAGGCCCTTCGCCTCATCAGCACAACGCTTTAGCATATTAAACCGGTCATTACATACCAATCTACTAAAAGATTTAATTTTTTTTCCCCCTCTCTTTTCGGCAGTTTTCAAGAAGTCTTCCCGTGATTAACTGCAAACAAGAAAATGGTTTACACCTCGAATTAGAAGCCATTAATTAGCATGACGACGAAGTCAACTGCAAGACACACAGACAATTCAAATTATTTCATCGCCAACCCTCTTGGCTAAACTGTCGCCTACTCCTCTCTCTCTCTCTCAATATCCTTCGGTGGGTTATCGATCTGCCAGCCAATTACCTCCAGACCAGTTAAGAGATTAAATATGAGCATGCTTTCCTTTCTCTCGGGTTTGCATTAATTCCTTCTGCTCAACACTTTAACAACAACAACAAAAAAAAAGCTTTAAGGTTCTTGCATCCCAAATCCCTCATTAGCCCTCATTAAGCCTTTTCGTAATCAGGAAAGGAGGAAGAAGAAGAAGAAGAAGAGGGAAAAAAAGAGAGAGTATCTTCAATACAGATCAGGAGTTCGCTTCGCCCATATAATCATCATCATCATCATCATCATCACAATCGGGGTAGTAGGAATAAGGCATTCAAAAATGCACGCTCGAGGCGCTGGCAGCAATCAAAGCTCGGTGCAGAGACGTGGCTCCCAGCAAATAACGGGCTGGCCAGGCACAAGGGCTTCACAAAAAAAAAAAAAAAAGGCGCCCCGACCTCCCTCTCGGTCGCGATCCACGCCGCGCTAGGTCGAGCAGACCCACACCCAGACCCTCGGGCACACGGGCTTGCAGGAGAGAGACTCGCCCCGCTGCCCCTCCGCAGCAGCCCGGAGAGGATCAACGCAGGCACATGGCAAAGCGAGACCGAGCGGGAGCAAACACGCTGCTCATTCAACTCGGGCCCGGGGCAGAGCGATGCCGAGTTTGCAGAGTGTTCTCGGCGCATGTGTCTGTGTGTGTGTGTGCGCGCGCGCGTTGAGAGTGAGTGAGTGAGTGAGTGAGTGAGACCCGCCGTGGAGGCATTTCCCTCCTCTCTCTCTCTCTCTCTCGCTCTCTGGGCAGTTTTGGCTTCATTTGTTTCCGATGCCTGCGACACCGAAGAAAACTAACTTGCACCGCGGCCCCAGCCAGCGCCGCCTGAATAGCGCGAGAGCCTGTGTGCTGCGGCCCCGTGTGCGTCAGATCCCTCCGCGGGGCCGGGCCCCGCCCCCTCCGTCCCTCCCTCCCTCCCTCCCTCCTCCTCCTCCTCCTCCTCCTCGTCCCTCCTCCCTCCTCCCTCCCCCGAGCGGCCTCCACAGAGAAAGCGCCTGCACCCACCGCGCGCGCCGACATCTTCTCCGGCTGCAAATCAATAAACTAAGTCGCGCCTCCGCGGGCCCGAGCGGTCGCGGCTGGGTTTAGGGGCTTGGGGGGTGGGGGTGGGGGTTGGAAAAGTCCGGCCGCCCCGGGTTGCGGAAGGAAAAGGCGCGAGATTCCAGGCACTTTTTTTTTTTTAAATATTTTTTTTTTCTTCCTTCTTTTTCCCCCTCTCCACCTCCCGGCGCCGGCGGGCGGGAGCGCGCGGGCTGGGCCACGGCGCCAGGGGGTATAGCCGAGCCCGAGCCCGGGGCCGCGAAGGCGGCGGCGGCCGGACGGACTCCTTTCTGCGGCGGAGGGATCCGCGGCGGAAGAGGCGGCGGAGGAGGCGGCGGCGGCCGTAGCGGCGGCGGCGGCCGTAGCCGTCGCCGTCGCCGTAGCGGCTGCCTGGCCTGAGAGTTGTTGTTTCCTCCTCCTCCTCCTCCTCCTCCTCCTCCTCCACCTCCTCCTCCTCCTCCTCTTCCTCCGCCTCCGCCTCCACCGCCACCGCCGCCGCGGCTTGAATGGTGGAGCCCGGGCTCGGCTCGCCAGCCACACAGTGACAGCTCCCGGGCGGGCGAGCGGGCGAGCGGGCGGGCGGGCGGGCGGCGGCGCCGCCTGGTCCTTCCCCCGCTGGCCTCGGGCGGGCTGGCGGGCGTCCCCCCCGCCGAGCGAGCGGCCCCCCGAGTGACCCCGAGCCATGGCTTGCGAGAGGAAGGGCCTCTCGGAGCTGCGATCGGGTAAGTCGGGGGGCTGAGGGGGGCGGCGAGCCCGACCCCCGCCCGCGCCCCCCCCACGCACCTCCCGGGCCGGCCGCTCAGCCTCTCTCTCTGTGTGTCTCTCTTCTCCTCTTTTTTTCCCCCCTTCTTCTCTCCCGCGCAGAGCTCTACTTCCTCATCGCCCGCTTTCTGGAGGATGGACCGTGTCAGCAGGCGGCTCAGGTACGCGGCGGCGGCGCGCGGGCGCTCGCGGCCGGGCGGCCGGGCGGGCGGGCGGGCGTGGGGGGAGGGCGGCGGCGGCGGCGGCCCCGGAGCTCAGCCCGGCCCGCTTTGTTGTTGTTGCAGGTGCTGATCCGCGAGGTGGCCGAGAAGGAGGTGAGGGCGGCGGCGGCGGCGGCGGCGGCGAACGGGCGGGCGGGCGCGTGCGGCCTCGGCGCGGGCGCTTCTGGGCCGCGGCGGCCGGGGAAGGGGGGGGGAGGGCCCGGCGGGGGCGGCCGGGCGGGCCCGGGGCTTGGGGGGGGTCCCGACTTCACTGGGTGTCGTTTGCTCCCCCTCCACGGCAGCTGCTGCCCCGGCGCACCGACTGGACGGGCAAGGAGCACCCCCGGACCTACCAGAATCTGGTGAGCTGTGCCCCGCGCCGCCGAGCCAAGAAACTTTTCTTTCCTTTTTTTTTTTTTTTTTTCCCCTTTCCCTACCCGAGTCGAATAAAAATTGAATTTCCCGCAATTTTTTTTTTTTTTTGAGAGACCAAAAAAAAAAAAAAAAGCTTGGCCCTAGAGCATGATCGCGGCAAAAGGCTGGGTGGGTGGGTGGGTGGATGGGGGGGGAGGGTGGGCGCGGGGGCTCCGGGGTGGGGGCGTGCAGGGGGTGCAGGGGGCAGTGGCCCGGGCGGCGGGCACCCCGGGGCGGCCGCCGGTTTCTCGGCGAGGTTGGGTTCGTGTGCGAGAAATACAGATACGTCATGAGTGTTGTGCAGTGCTCAGGCCCCGAGGAGGAGGGGCCGGCGCGCGCGGCCGCGTGCGGGCGCGGGCCCGGGAGCGGGAGCGGGCGCGGGCGCGGGCGCGCGCGCCAGGCGGCAGCGCGGGGACACGGGGGCGCGCTCGCTGCTGCTCCCGGCTCGCGGCGGCGGGCGCTGGCTTGGCTGGGCTCGGCTCGGCTCGGCTCGGCTCCGCCGGCTCTCTGGCTGCACACAATAGCGGGCGACTCACTGCTCCGAGGGGCATTAGCATTTCCCGGACTGGCTCTGGGAAGGCTGCTGGCCCTTTGCGGGAGAAGATGGAGATTTTTTTTCTTAGCCGATCTTCTTTTTTTTTTTTTTTTTAATTTTCCTCGACGTTCCGAACTCGGTGGGATTTTTGTTGTTGTTGTTGGAGAGGTGCAAGCATCTGATGGGAGTTGACCTGCCCTGTGTCTTGCTTTTAGCAGACATGCTTGCAGACGTGCAAAAGGAGCTTGTGACGTCCTTATTTTTAAAAAAAAAAATTTTTTTTTTTGATTGATGCCAGTCTCCCCCTGTTGAAGTAGTATAGGAAGGAGGAGGTCACTGCAGTTTTCTTGGCCTCTGTATCTGCCCTGGGACGGAGTGTCCGGTAAAGTTCTCCAGTTTTAGATCTAGATGCATTTTTCTTTTTCTTTTTTTTTTTTTTTTTGTCCCGTGACTTGGAGGATTTCGTGTGTCTGAATTTTGTGGGAGTTTTTCAGAGAGTTTCGTTTCTCAAAAGTTGGCTTGCTGTGAAGTGGACCCATCCCAGGCTGTGCATGAAAACGTCAGGGACCTTGGCTTTGGGAGCTGTCTCTTATCCCCACTGCAAGAACATGGGTCCTGGGGATGTGTGTGTTGGGCACTAAAATAGTCCACCCCCCCCCCCCCCCCCCCCCCCCCCCCCCCCCCGCCCAGGGCGGATCAAGCCTTTGAAAGCTGCGCGGTGCATCGGGTTCCCGAGACACGTTTGCAGTTGATGGTTTTTTTTTTTCCAGAGTCGACTACTGGTGAACGTTAACTTCACCATGGCTTCTGCAACGGTTAGGGAGTTTGAGTTCACGTAGAGTTGCGTGTCTTCTGGGATAGAGAACAGCCAACATTATCAGCGTTGTATGTAGTCTCGTGATTTAGTGTCGGGGCTGGAAAGCGCACACAGCTGTTGAATAAGCGAGGGTACTTTGTTCCAGTGAATGAAACGGAGACTGAAACTGGGTTTTCCTCCCTTGGTTAGTGTTCAAGTAGTTGTTCCGGCTGGTTTTACCAGGGAGTGGAGCTTGAAGTAAACTCCAAGAGAGAGTAACGGAATTGTGTGTTTACTTCCATAAATATTGGACAGCACCTTCAAGCATTTTCATTGTGGATTTGCGTGTGTTCTTTGCAAAACATAAATAAGAGTTCTGTTTTTAAAATTAGGCAGATTTAACAAAACTTGCTCTTGCATCTTGTGCAAATCTGAACCTCAAGTCTGAATTGCTGTGTTTTCTTAACTTTCAGGCTATTGGTAAGACATTTTCAAGTGAAGCAGCTAATGCCTTCTTGTCAAGTTAGGGAAATACAGTTTATTTTTTCTACTAACAGCAGACAATGTTGATTTTTAATTTTTGAGAGGGGGTTTCTCATACTACATTGTGGATAATCTTTATGACATTTGAAAATCCACCGATTTTACACAGGTATTGTTTTCCTAGGAATATTTTTTTCCTTTTTAAGTTAGCTGTAGAAATCATTTTGGAACACCAAATATCTAGCACATTCTTTTTTAGTATTAACATCTTGGAATTTTATATCTAGGTGAGCATATGTGAAGATCCCTTGTGTTCTTTATTTGGCTAGTGTACTCTTAGGACTTTAAAACGGTGAGTTTTAAAAGTTTTGCCTCGCTGCCTGCCTATCAAATAGAATATTGTTGTCGAGAAGCCAAAGTATTAAATGTTTGTGATTTCAGTATTGTCTACCTCTGTGTGGAAATTTGTGGCTATGTTAACGGAAAGGATTGAGTAATATAAGTGGATTTTTATTAGTAAGTTAGATTGAACTCTCCCCAAAACCTCAAATCGCAACTATTCTGGATGGGAGATGTTTTTGCTTGTGTGCTGCAAAATAGGCCTAGGTCAACGTTTTCAGTGAGCTTAAAGAGCCTGAGTTTTGACCAAGAGGAAAATGGGATTTTAAGATAAGATTAAAAAGTTCATAGGTTAAAATATTATTCAAAGAGATTCCTTCATTTTCAGATGCATGGTTAACACTGTGCAACATGATTGTGAATATTACCAGTCTACCTTCGGATTTAAAACATTTTAAACAGTGAGTGGTATATGAAACGGAATTTGCAAGAAGTGAAGGGCACTGTTCTTTTTGCTGGGGAGGAGTGGAGGGCAGGCAGGAGGCTCCAGTGTAGTTCAGTCATATACACATATACTTTGATGTTGGGGTCGGGGAAACTCCCCTAGCAGTGCTTAGAGTTGGGGTCACTTGTCTTGGTACTGGACCTAGTGGTATGGACTGTCAATTTAGTGCTCAGAGAGGCAGTGTCCTGTTGCTCGGGGCCATCCAGGTGGTGCCAAACAGGTGGTCGGATGCTGGGGATCCAACCTCGAACCTTGTTCAGTATGCGCCATCCTTCTGAGAGAACCAGTGTTAAGTGTTCCTGAAATGATGCTACTTTACTAGAAGTCTTTTTATCCGGGTAAAATGATTGGGAATCAGAAGATGTGGATTGTGGTCTTAATATATCTTAACCTGTAGGTTACCCTGGACAAGTCTTGGAATTTCTCTGGCTTCTGTTGCCTCATTTGTAAAAGAAATGAATGAAAAATTTTCTAACATGAGAATCTCACTTTAAATTAGAAATATCAGTGCACTGTTCTAAGAACTCAACTGCTCTAATCTTGGAGTTTGATATAAAAAAAAGTAGATTTAAAGAAATCATGAATATTAGAAAATTTGCATAGATTTTCCTTAATGCTATTCTTATAGTGTAATTTTTTTATGTGAAGATAAAAGGTTTTTTGAGAAGCTACATCACAGACTGTGCCTTTATTCTAATTAGCATGTGATTGATTCACTGTTAACAGTTTTCATCAATAAAATCTGAGATGATTAGGAACCATTGAAAGGATTTACTTTAAGGTTTATATCTTTATGTGTTTAATTTAGAGTATGGTGACTAATGTTAGGTATCAAGTGGAAGAGAGAAGTTTTAAGAAAAAGATGAAACATGTTTTTGAAATAGAGATTCCCATTCTAAGTGAGTGAGAAGGTATCAAGTGTAGGAGAGAAGTTTTAAGAAAAAGTGAAACATGTTTTTGAAGCAGAGAGTCCCATCCTAAAGATATGTTTTCAAAACTTACCCCGTATAATTTTGATTAGCGCAGTGGCACATAATGAAATATATGTGTGGCAGTTTACTACTGTCTTTTTCTCATGGAGCAACAGTGAAAAACAAAGGTTTTCTTGGTAGTCTCTAAAGCCAGGATTTTACTACTTCGTAATTTTTATAATTCATAGTAAAATGTTAGATGAGAAGGGGATAATACTTGTTGAAGGCCTGAAATGGGCAAAACTCCATTCTTTACAAAATTTGAGGTATTCCCAAACTTTTAAAATAAAAGACATAATTTTGCATAATTGTAAAATGTCTTAAACACCTAGGGAGAACCGTATTTAAGAACTGTTCAGAATAATGCCAAGAGAACAAGAATCTGTTTCTCAGACTATAACATGGGCTAATATGGCTCCTACTTGGTAAGATTCTGTGATTGAAAGGTACACTCAAGTTTTATAGAAAGGGTTTTGTTTGCTGTTGGGACTTTAGGAATCATAGTAAAAGTTTATATTCTTGTAGTGTATTAAAGTTAAGAAAGGCAGTTTTATTCCAAAAATAAGTATCAGTACTTTTCTGAACATAGGCAGCCACAGTATTAAAAAGTCACTTTAAAACTTCAGGAGATATCATCCTTATTAATTGCTTTGTATGTTCAGGATGAGATAAATAAGCTCAAGAGAAAGCATAATGAATATCAGGTTCTAAGCGTTGAGGGGAGAGTGCTAGACAAGTTTTGTCAAACTGTATAGTGATTAAGAGAGGTTGTGTAGCAGTTAACATTTAGAAATGTTTGAGTGGTTAAAATATAAAGAATGAAATCTCTGGTGTTCAGGTGACACTTAGGAATATCTAACGAGAGCTTAGATATCTGGCTTTTGCACCAGGAGTTGTGATTTAAAAAACAAAAAAAAAGTCCATACATGAGTTGTGTTATTTTGGGGAGTTGGTACAGTTTCTAGATTCTGTCAGTCTGGACCAGGAAGGTGGCTCAGGTGGCTGGTGCAGATGCTATGCATGTGGGAGACCTGGGTAAGATCTCTGGCACTTTATGGGACCCCTAAGAATGGCAGGAAACGCCCCCTGAGCCAGGCTTAGTTCCTGGGCACCGTAGGGTGTGGCCCCCCCACACACACCCTGCTCCCGAAAGATAGGTTTTAAGCAGAATTTACTAGTGATTTGGAAAAATTAGTCCTTAGATGAACTTTAGGCCAAATGTATGTCAACTTTTTGATCATTTTCAGAATTTTTTTGTGAGGTAGGCCACAGTTCTTCTATCTTTTGCTTAGAAAATTTTTAAGCCACTGCAGCTGTTC